CAATCAGCCAGAGTTTCGGGTGAGCTGGATGACTGAGAACCTTCACAGACACAATGTCATGATCACTGATCAATAACCATGAGTACCATTCACAGAGAGTTGGGGAACGGCTGCAATCACAGCATTGTAAGATGGTGACAGATGTACCGTTAGGCCCCTCCTCCATTCAGAGATGGTCTTTTCCTTTTCACGTAAATGGCCTCCTTGACTCCGCCCTCAAACCAGCGTTCCTCCCTGTCCAGGATGTTACATCCTCATCATTGAAAGAGTGTCCACTGGCCTGTAGGTGTGAACAGACTGCAGAGTCCTGGCCTGACCTCTGCAAGCGGAAGTGTTGCAGCGCGGGAGGCAGCCGCACCTGCAGCTCAGCCAGCGTCAGCTGTGCTGATGACCTTCTTCGTGACCGTCCTGTTTAGCAGTGCGGCTCGGCTCTGGTCAACACTGGATCGTTGAGTTAACCCTGGTTAGTACGGCCGTGTTTCTCAGTGTTGCTAAACCTCACCAGTGTGGATACCTTTGCCCACATGTGTGTGTTTCTTTGTGTCACCAGGGAGTCACGGTTTGGGAGCACGGGGAAAGTTGGAGCCACAGTCACACTGTGGGATTCAGGGGAATCGCCACGGGAGCCACAGTGCTGGAGATCTGTATATATTTCTGGAGCGGTGTTTCTCTGTTAATAAATTCACCGCCCTGAGTGTTTGTAAGGTTGGAAACCTGCAGTCAGCTGAGACTGAAGACGTCACTTAGACGATGAAACGCTTCTCCCACTGAAAACATCCAGAATCAACTTTCAGGGAAAATTTTAACTGGGATCGCAGAGGGCTGGAGTCTTTCCCACAAGAGGCTGGGGGAGAGGTTGCCGGTCCAGCAAAGGACTAACACAGAGGACACATACGCTTACATATTCATCCTGCAGCCAATGCAGAACCTAGCAGGCACATCTTTGATCTATGGGAAGAAGCTGGAGTAGCTTGAGGAGAACCCATATGGGGAAACATGCAAACTCCACACAGAGAAGCCAAAGGCAGGTTCAAACCCAGGACGCTGGCTGCAAGGTGTCAGTGCTAACTGCTACACCACCCATTTGCAAAGGTAACTAGTATGGCCTGTATTTGTATAGCGCTTTACTAGTCCCTAAGGACCCCAACGCGCTTTAAACATCCATCCACCCATCCACACACCCATTCACACACTGGTGATGGCAGCTACGTTGTAGCCACAGCCACCCTGGGGCGCACTGACAGAGGCGAGGCTGCCGGACACTGGCGCCACCGGGCCCTCTGACCACCACCAGCAGGCAGCGGGTGAAGTGTCTTGTCTTGTCTAGTACATCACCATATTTATTTATATTTGGTAACATGGTAAATTGGTTCTCATACAGTGCTTTTTTATTTTACTGCCGCACTGAAGGTGCTTAATATTTGACTTGTATCAAACACACAAGACAGTAGATGAAGATGATATCTGACATTGTAGAAGTTAATGTTGTTATTCCAGAGTGGGAATGGGAACATTGTACATTAATGTAGAACAATAACACAAAGGCAGACACGAGTTTGTTATATTTTTCTTATTTCTCATGACAAAGTTCCTAATTTAAGCATGTTTTTCTTTGCAAGCTATAGCTTCACACTGTTTGGTTTCCTTTAGTCACAAAGCTGCTTCGAAGCACAGCTACTAGAATAGTTAGTTAGGATTCTGTCTGCTAACTATGCTAACACCGCTCGTATGCATGGCTAGTTTCAGGGTGGTTTAAAAAGCTGCGGTGCAGTCAGTTCAGGATCAAGTGCAAAAACAGGCAAAAGGCTTTTTAGTAAATTAGTGTCCGATTGAAATATTCTCCTCCCACCTCACATGTAGTCACCGTGCTCTTTGTAAATACAGCCTGGGGGAAGTCAGCAAATCAGTGCTCAGTGGTTACAATAGACTGTTTTCAATTAAATATTTGTATAATTAAACACTGATTTCTAACTTCATAACTCACTTAGACTTCACAGTTATGGATTATCAGCATAACTGTAACTGTCAAGTCTACCGTCCATATAAAAGGATTTTAGACATTTCAAAGACCCTTACAAACTCTGGAAAACCTGCCCTGAGTTCGGACAAACAAAATGCAAATGAAGACATTTGTGGGGACGACCGATTGCTTCATTCAGATCACTCAGACGTGCTACACTGACCTGCCTGATGCCGAGTCTGTAGGCCAGGATTCGATCCACAGCGTTCGGCTCCATCTGAGTCCACTGCAGTTTGAAGCCGTAGACTCGCGGCCTGTTCTGCCACAGAGCGCTGTAGGTGTCGTAGTAAAACTCTGGAGGGTTGGCTTTCCCTGAGGAGACAGTGGGGTCAGAGGTCACACAGAGCTGGAGACAGGTCCAGGATATCTTTTTCACACATGGATAGAAATGTTGTCACCATGTTTGTCAGTGTGTGACACTTGGTGTTACGATGGGTCCTTTTTATATCTTTGGAAACTGAAGTGCGAGGCTGCAGATTACTCACTGTTGTGTGTTTGTGTGGTGATGCTTGGCATGGTGAAACCACCAACCAAAACAAGGCTGTTGGCCAAATTAGCAAAACTATGGCTGTTCTCAGTAGACTTGGCTGTGTCAGTAATACACATGACCACACTGTAACAGCATCTTTGTATGTTTATGTGTATGAACCTGCTTTTTGAGTGTAACAGTATCAACATAAGTATCAGTAAACAAAGATGAGCTAGCTGATGGCATTATAGTTACATTTTCATATATAATGCTAACAGCATTTTCTTGAGTTTTCTGTGACTGTTTTAAACGATGTGTGTTCTGCTGCATTTGTGTGATAACAAGATTATTTATGTCAGACCTCAGCAGAAATCAGGGCTTTAAAAACACACAAAATGACTTCAACAGACAGAAATGAATCATCCTATTAAACTTCAGTTTGTTTCATCTGTCTGAAAGTGGGAGGAGCAGTCGGACCGTGTGGCGAGTCGTCACGTTGGCACGTTGTCTCACAGCTTCATGTCTGCTGTCACTTTTATTCTGAAGCTTTGCGCTGTCTCATTGGTCGCTGCAGGATGAGCACGGTTTAAAACGCCACCCGTGTGTTCACACCTGATTAACAACACAAACTGTCTGCCATAATCACCATCATTTCCTATCGTCTTTATATCCTGAGCTTACAACTCCACTCTTTCAACACTTTCTGCTGCTGCCTGCAAAACGCGCTGCTCAGCGGTTGGCCCTGATAAGAGGCTTAACACAGCGGCGGGTTCTGCAGGAAGTCTCTCGGCGCTGACAGGGTGCCTCTGCAGGAGAGCTTTCAGAGGAGACGCAGATACGAGTGGCTCAGAGACCCGGAGAGTCGGTTCAGCCTGGAAGTCAACGACAACTCCAAATTCACGTGAGAACAAAACCAGACCTGAGTGATTAAAGAGACGGATTACTCGTCCGACGTACGTATTTGTTGAAAACTTAACGAGCCGAGTTACCATGATTCAAACCCAGAAGGGTTTAAAAAAGGTTTAAAAAACATTACTGATATTAAATGTTGCCTTCTCTCCCCGTGCTTGTTCACTTACATTAAATTATGATTTTATTCGTTTCCTCACGTTAAGATAAAGTCCTCATAACAACATAACAAAGAAAAAACTGAAACATCTGAAGTTCGGGATACAAATACTAAAATTATTAGGTTAAGCATTCCTCACACACACACATATATATATATATGTGTGTACACATTAGTAATCTAAAGGATCCTTCATGACTGAGTACCTGCTGTTAGCTTTCTTTGTGCTACATGTAGTGCCGTTAGCTTTAGCGTGTCAGGTCCAGCTGCTGTCCAGCTCTTGTCTGCTTTTGTGATGGTGACGGGTTCATCCTTTAGTCCACCAGTCACCGGCCGTGACCGTCATGTGACACCTCTCTGTCTCAGATGTTCTTCCAGAATTGCTCAATTTCAGCTGGATGGGAAAACTCTCGCTGCTATTACTCTCCTGTAGCTGAGCCGTGGATGGAGGGATCTTTTCAGAACAGACCTCAGCTTCTCTGGTGTCTCACTTCAGCCTGGTGGCAGAGCTGTGAGCATCTGGCAGAGCCTCAGTTATAGAGAACTTGTTTCCACTCAGGACCTGACACCCTGCTATTATTATTTAACCAGCTAACCAGTTAATCTTGCAATCAAGTGCTTCTATGATTGCTGTGACAATGGTGTAGATAGGTTCACTGGTTTCAGTGGTTCACTGGTTTCAGTGGTTCACTGGTTTCAGTGGTTCACTGGTTTCAGTGGTTCACTGGTTTCAGTGGTTCATTGGTTTCAGTGGTTCACTGGTTTCAGTGTATGCTAGTACAGTTCTTATATAGCTCTCCTGGAGTACTCAAAGTGCATTAACCCCATACACACAAGCACTGAGTGCTTTTCTAACTATCATTCATACTCCGATGGATGTGGAGAGCAAGTCGGGTTTGTATCTTGCCCGTGGATATTTGGCATGCCAACTGGGGGAGCAGGGATTGAACCACCAACCTTCCAATCAGCAGCTGACCTGCTCGACCTCCTGAGCTGTCAGACTGTGGGCTGATCCTACAGAGCAGCAGCTGTCAGGCTCAAATCAAGTGTCCAACATAAGGCTTCTTAACCACTTATGACCTTGGGCTGTACTGTTTCCCTATAGTAATATGTTCAATGCTGTCATAAAGACAGCTACACCTTTCTTCATTAAGCTGACCATGAGGTCATGTAGGGAACGCAGCACTCTTATAGGCAGCGTGTCAGCAGTGACAGCAGCTCGTTGGAACACAGGAACAACAAATCCTTAATTAAGACACGTAAACGTCAAGTCTGAACTCATTCCAGCCTTAAATCATCCATTGGTCAATAATCAACAGGGACGTGTCCCAGATATGATCAGGTCACGTTATCTAAGCCAACATGTTCAGATTAGGTACCAAGTCTACTGAAAACCTCACGAGAACCAAGTTCCAGTCAAACGTCTTCACTTTTTAAACAAGTCAAGCAGGAAACTCTACGATTTCATGTTAAATATAAAGTCACTAAAGTGCAATAACTCAAAAAATAATAAAGCTCACCTGTGACCAGGAACGTGCACCGTCCTGCCCCGGCCTCGTTGGTGATGTCACAGGTGTACTCGCCGTAGCCCTCCCTGTTCAGAGCTCTGACGTGGTAGTTCGTGTCGTCTCTCTGGTCACTGAACTGTCCGACAGTCAGGAGGCGGGTGCCCAGCTTCCACTCATATCGTAGGAGGCGAGCCGGATGAGCTCGCAGCAGACGGCAGGTGAGGCTGAATGCCCGGCCAAGGGCCTGCCGGATCTCCGTGTGTTCGGGCTCCACGGCCGGAGGGACTGCAACACAGAGGGAGGTTCATGTTTCTGACTCATTTCAAGCTGTTGCTTCACCTGATCTCATTTTGTTTTAGCAGAATGTTTTTAACCAATATTACAAACTTCACACAATGAAAACCAGCATAAATCTAAACATTATATATAAATAAAATAATGGAAAAATGTATCACTTCCTGCACTTTAGTCATACAAATGCAGATCTCACTCAGGGCTGTGTTCACTTCACTGTTAATGAAGCCAGAATGGCTTGAAAACAGCCTCTTACAAATCTTATGAGATTTAAACTCAGTTGGTTGGTGCTGCAGAGCTCCGCTGAGGTGCACTGTGTTTTTAAATCCCTGCAGCAGAACCTTAACAGGAGGTTTGAGCCAAATTGCAGGTGTCACTTCACAGATTAACATCCTGATGCCAAACACGGATCAACAGGAATAAAGAGAAGGAAAAAGCAGCTGCAGCAGCCGTGCTGTGACCTTTCTGCAGACAGGAGCATCATCTGAAGGATGGAGAGAACCAATAAGATGTAAACGCTCATGAATGTCTCAGAGAAGAAAAACAAGTCGACTTTCGAGGTCAGGATGGGTGGAGGAGGCACAAAAGCACTCAAACGTGACGTAATGAGTGAGGATTAACCGGCTCATAGGGTTTGCAATGGTACCGTAAATGGGAAGGTAGACCCATCGTTAGCATTTCCTGGTGCTTTTTGCCTCTAACAGGGCCGTGATTTACACATGGACATTGTTATTCAGTAAAACTGAAGCTAGCACCACCGTGGTTTCACTGGAAACAGCCCTGAAGCCGCAGTGCCACGCCCTTCCTGATTTCTTATTGGGTTTTCTTTTTTGTAACTGCACTCAATCGGATTTAAGTCCAGACTTGTTGGAGCCAATCAGAGGTGGAGTCTGGTGTAGTTTGGATCTTCGTCCTGCTGCACCCAAACTGAACTTCTACAGGATTTATGGTTCCATCAACTACAGCAGTCCAGGTCCTCACACAGCAGGACATTTTCAGCAAATCACCCTTTTGTTCTGAAGTGCTGTGTTTGATGTACACGGACGCAAACCTTCAAAAAGGTTTTTGCCTCGGGAGCCCAGAGAATATTTCCCGAGAGCCCGAGGATCCTGAAACCACAAACTCAACGTCTTGTAAGGTTTTCACTGAGCTGCTGTTTCTGGGCAAGATGTTGATCCCCAAATTATGGTGACACGTCTACTGTTCTATAAGTTCAATAAAGCAACAGTGTGAATATAGCTGGTAATGTATAAAAAGGCTTTGAGTAGACAAAACGTTACTCTGACAGCTCACTACTATAAAATATACGATAAACCACA